TTTTTATCAGGTTAACCGAAAGTTGTTGAAGATTTTTACCACTCGACTATTACTCAGATATATCTTTAGATTCCCCCTTGATAAAGCTATGCTACTTGGTTACCTCACTCTCCTACAGTGGTGATTCTTACTTAGTAAGACTTTAAAATATCGGGACTGATGCCTCAACGTCGAATGGGTGGTATATATATTCTACATAAAATTCGTGTTTAGACAGTCCAATGGGGTGATTCAAAGAGCTTTTAATCTTCGGATTAATTGTCTGGAGTTCGCAATTCCCGGCTGAATACTCTTCTGAGCTACAGTGGTTTTGGTCCTCGGTCGTGGTGATAATATTGTCTGTGTTCCTAAAAATCACCAAATGCAGTTTGTTTACGGCATGCACGCCATCCCTCTTCGTTTGAATTTCTAATGCCCAACAATGTCTCCCAGCCTGTTATTTCCACATTTAATGTTGAAGAATCGCAGGTGAACCTAAAGTTTACCGGATGACTGAAGCAGATCGTGCAATTTTGGTGGAACTCGTTGTAGTCACTTGTTGGGGGTTGTAAAACGCATGCGTCAGTATCATTTTGCAATTCTTTAGTGTTCCCGGTTTAAATTCTCATGATTCCTATTTGAAGTCGATGTTGTTCAAGCTCGTCTACTTTAGGAACGACATTTACTTCTGTTCTGAGGCTGAAGCAGAATGTAGTCGGTTGTCAGGCTTTTTTCTGGCATTTGGAAAGGGCGCAGCAGGTAATAGTAAAACGTATTGCTTGTTCACGAACGGTTTGAACAGTTTGTGGTGATGTTGAGTCACCTGAAGGACATCAATTTAAGAAAGCTTATCTGTTTTGACTAACTGAATGACGTGTCCCTTTTGGTTAAGCACACTGAAGATCAGTGTGTCATGGGTAACCAACAGCGATGTGTAATGTGAGTGATGGTGCAGTAATTGATTTACTCCTACATTACCTTTGAAGGAGCTGTAATGGTGGAGGGTGAGCACATGAGTGCCTTCCAGATGCAACGGGTTAACAGGTGGCAGAGAGTCGGATTGGCAGACCCTGAATTTGTTTTTCTTTTCACTTCCTCCATGTGCGCTGAGTTGTACGTGTAGTGGCTTGCTGACCGATTGACTGACTGGAAGAATGACCTGTGAATAGTTTGATGAGAAATGACCTGTGTTGCCACGTATGCCAGGTGAATGAACATTTTATCGCCTGTCATCCAGGCGCTGCTCGATAAGGCTTCGCCTCACAGGTCTGAAGCGTACACCACTATGTCCGAAAGACTATGCTTTGTGTGTGTATGTGGTGTGTGATGAACTGTCGTTGCAGCTGGTAATGATAAGTTGTCGACTGACAAAAGACTGGAGGAGAATAATAAGTGGGTTCTGTCTCCTTGATGGATTTTCATACAAATGGAAGATGTCTAGGAAGAGCCTTTTTGACACAGTAAGGCCTAGTCAATCGGTCTGAAGAAAGTGTTGTGCTGGAAAGTCCTTGCAAGGCCCGTCCTTCATCACTGTGGTATTTATTCGTGAGGGGTTGTCATAACGCGCTTGATGAATGTCCTGCCCTCATTCGTTTTCTTTATTTGTTTGGTAAT